CAGCACTGGAGCTAGAGAGGTGCCTCAGCAGTTGCTGCCTTGCAGAGGACCCAGGTTCAATTCCCAGTACACACATGGTGGTGGTAGTTCACAACCATTTATACCTCCAGTTCTAGGGGGGTCTGGTGCTTTCTTCTGGACTCTGTGGGCACCAGGCACACACTGGGTACACACACACACACACACACACACACACACACACACACACACGCAGGCAAAGCACTCACAAAATAAAAATAAATAAATTGAAATTTTTGCTGTTATTTTTAGAGACAGGTTTCTCTGTAGCTTTGGAGCCTGTCCTGGAAATTGCTGTATAGACCAGGCTGGCCTCTAACTCACAGAGATCCACCTGCCGCTGCCTCCCAAGTGCTGGGATTAAAGGTGTGGGCCACCACTACCTGGCCTAATTTTTAAAATTCAATTTAAGTGCAATTTAGTGCATTAGGTATCAGATCCCTTAGAACTGGAGTTACAGACAGTTGTGAGTTGCCATGTGGGTGCTGGGAATTGAACCCAGGTCCTCTGGAAGAACAGCATGTGCTCTAACCACTGAGCAATCTCTCCAGCTCCCAAGTAAGTAAATTTTAATTCAGACATTAAAACAGAAGGGGGACAATGGGAAAGAGGAGGAAGCCAGTGAGAGAGAGGACATGAGACCATAACAGAGAGTATATATAATCCATGTACGTATATGAAAAGTCATATTATATTGTAACCCATTACTTTGTACAACTACCATGCTAATAAAAATGTCTAAAATGTTATGATTGTAAAGTTTGTAATTTTGGGGGGCCTTGCAAGGGCTTTGAGGCAAGGTTTTGAGGCAAGGGTTTGCTGGACTCAAGATTCTCCAACCCCAGATTCCCAAGTGCTGAAATTCCTGTCACCCTGCCTGATCCTACTGTAAAAACCAATTTCTCTAATCTTTAATTTAAACCGTGGGGCCCAGAGAGAAGCAAGGTGCTAGCAGTTCCCTGGTATAGCAAGCGTTCTCACAGGGCAGCCCATGCCTTCTACTCTCCGTGGCTTCTCGGGTGTCCCCATTCCTCTTCTACCACAGGTGTGGCTGCCTGAGCTTCACCCAGAGCTGTGACATCCCCTCCTCCCAAGCACTGGGTCCAAACTCAGAAGCAATCTAAGGAAGTAGCTTTTCTTCGTGCCATTTTCTCCTTCCTTCTCTCATTTATGCTCAAGGCCATTTCTAAGGATCCCAAGGTCTTGAGGGGTGGTGGAAAGTTTGTGGGAAGCATGTCCAAAGTCCTCCAAAGGAGTGACTTGGGGCGGTGAGGATGAGTTTAAGGGGACCGCTAGCTCTGGAAACACCCTCATAGAAATTGTCGACACCCACCTACCCCCGCCCTAGAGCTGATGCATCTTCTTGTCCGCTCTCTAGCGCTATCTTGTGTCTTGTTCCTAAACAGCTAACAAGAGACGGTTTTGTCTTTTGAATGCACTTTTAAAGTTTTGTGGACGCTGTGTGTGCGACCTCTGCATCTCTGAAGACGCCACGCCAACCCAGCCTGGAATCAGTCCCCACCTACAAGACTGCACTATCTGAGCTAGACACGCTGACCAACCACAAATATCCCCTTCTCCCACTCCTTCAGAGTTCAAGCCTAAGGAGGGCGGAGTAGGGCGCGCAGAGAGGACGGTGTGATGGATTGAGGAAGGTGGGCTTTCCCTAGCATCCTACGACCTCCGCCGCTTCTGCCCACGTCCACCCAAGTCACCTGTGGCGTCTAGACCGCTGAGGCTGCAAAGCTCTCAGCCACTCCAGCCCGCGAACCGCCGCGGCCAGGTTCCAGCTCTGCCCCGGTGACAGTGGGGCGGATCCACTGCGAGCAGAGCAAATGTTTGTGGCTCCGTAGGAGCTTTGGGGAACCGCAAGCTCCCCAGTTTGCCAACAAGGGTACTTACCCTGAGCTAGCGGTCGCTGGGCTGAGGTTTGTGGAAGGACAGGAGTGGGGGTGGGGGAATGAATTGTGTGTATGTTTGTGGGGGGGGGAGTGGGGGGGGTGAATTTCATTGGGCTGCTTATAAATGCATGGGTGAGGATTTGTTTACAAAAATATTGGTATCTTACCAATAGCCACACTACTGAAGCAAAAGTCTTTCCCGCTCCCACCTGCAGCTAACTGTGTGTATCAATCTTCAAGAGAAATGAGGCTTCATAATCCACTTCTCTGTGGTGGATTAAAAGAAAATGGCCCCCACAGAAAGTGGCACTATTAGGAAGTGTGGCCACGTTGAAGTAGGTGTAGCCTTGTTGGAGGAAGTGTGTCACTGTGGGGGCAGGCAGGCTTTGAGGTCTCTTTTGCTCAGCTACTCCTCCAGCACCGAATCTGCCTGCATGCCGCCATGCTCCCCACCATGATGATAATAGACTGTAAGCCACAGCCGCAATTAAATGTTTTCTTTATAAGAGTTGCCATGATCATGGTGTCTCTTCACAGCAATAGAAACCCTAAGACACCCTTCACGGCAAGGTATTAACAGGTCTGTCCTATTTTAGTGTGATAAAGACTATGATCAAAAGCAGCTTAGGGAAGAAAAGGTCTTTTTAGCTCACAGGTCCAGATCACCGTCCATCACTGAAGCTCAAGCAGGGCAGAAACCTGAAGGTAGGTGTGTGATATTTTGTTTGTGTTCTGACAAACAAAGTTTGCCTGGAAATCAAAGGGTGGGGCAAGCCACTAGTTAACCATAGAGCCGGGCACTGGTGGCTCATGCCTTTCATTCTAGCACTTGGGAAGTGGAGACAGGAAGTGATAAGGTGGAGTAGAGACAGGATCTCAGCCTTTTTGGAGGAAGGAAGGAAGCAGGTGGAAAGCAACTGGCAGCTGCTCCTCTGATCTTCCAGGTTTTTACCAAGATATCTGACTCCTGGTTTTTATTGATTAAATTAGTTAGATTTGTGCTTCAGGTAGGAACTGAAGCAGAAGCCGTGGAGGAGCACTGCTTACTAGTTTACTGTTCATGGTTTGCTTGACCTCCCTTCTTCCACAATCCAGGACCACCTGCCTACTAATGGCACTGCCCAAAGTGGGCTGCCCTTCTACATCAATCATTAATCAAGAAAATGCCACACAGACCTACCTACAGGCCAGTTTCATGAAGGCATTTTTCTCAGGCATTTCCCTCTTCCCAGAGGACTTGTATCAAGTTGACAGAAACCTAACCTGTTCACAGTCCTATCTTGTGCAGGTTTTGTATAGGTAATCACAGCTGTTGTGAGTTTAAGTGTGCAGCAGGCATGTCACAGCTGGGAGTCAGTCATCCCAACCTTCCCTGTCCCCTCCTCCAGCTCTTATATACTTCCCCTCGTTTCTATGATGTTCCCCACTGAGCTGTGGAGTGTGTGATACAGACATTCCATTTATATCTGAGTATTCATCAGTCACTTATTCCCCTCCTTGTGTATTTTATTCTTGTGCATTGATATTTTGCTTGCATGTACGTCAGTGTGAGGGCATCAGATCTCCTGGAACTGGAGTTACAGACAGTTGTGAGCTGCCATGTGGTTGCTGGGAATTGAACCTTTGTCCTCTGGAAGAGCAGACAGTGCTCCTAACCGCTAAGCCATCTCTCCAGCCCCAACAGTCTCTTATTCTTAACACAATGACAAATTACCTCTCAGCAGTCACTGCTGGCTGTTGCAAAAGCAGTTTCTCCAATCAAAGTTGACCCTTTTTCTCAAGCTTCTCCCTCCTCAAATGGCAATGCTTAAATGTATGTAAAAACTGTTTCTTCATGAACTCAGATTTAGCTTCCAAAAAAATAGCCATGGAAGAAAATGTAGGTAGAAAAGAGCCTAGGAAATAACACCCTGTTCCTACCTAGACCTGAGACCTAGGATAAGGAAAAACACCCTGACCTTGACTTGACCCCAGGGCCAGGCCTTGAAATCCCACCAGTCCCTGAGCCCTAGAGTCAGGCCACAAAACCCATCAATCCCAAACCACCCTGGACCGATCCACCCTTCTCCCACAAGAAACCCTATATAATAAGCTTGGTACCCTGTTCAGTTTGCTGCAGCTTCTCACCCTGGAGGCAGCGACCCTCCTGGATTCTTCCTTCCTAATAAATCTCTTGAGTGAGGTTTGTTGTGCAGAGTGACATGTTTTGTTTTGTTTTGTATTGTTTTGTTTTGTTTTGTGGAGCAGAGCACAGCTTTTGCCAGAACCAGAACAGAGCAGAACTGTAACACTTTCCCTTGGGGGCAGAATTGTTACAACTGCAGGGGGACCTGAGCAGAGCTGTAACATCTTTGCTGGAAAACCCTCCCCTGTGGAAGCCCTCCTCCTTTCTCTGGAGCAGAGTCATGAGCTACTACTATATTAACAGTGACTGTGGTATTCTTTGACTGCCAGGATACCTTTCCATCAGAGCTGCAACGCTTACAAAAAAAAAAAAAAAAAAAAAAAAAAAAAAAAAAAAAAAAAACAGAACCACCTTAAATCTTGAGGTCTCTGAAGAATGTGTTTCAGGCCCTGAGTTCAATGCCCAGCACTAAAAAGAAAATTCGATTTTCTCTACTCATATAGTAGTGTGATTTGCAAAATGGAAGTAGATAATGTATCCCTTCTCCAAAGCTACACAGAGAAACCCTGTCTCAAGGGGAAAAAAAGATAATGTATCCCTTGATTGGCACTGTTGAGTACCTTAGGATGTTTGCTTCTGTTGGGGAAGCCCTACCTGCCTTGTTCTGCTTTCTAGAGACTGACTTGTTACTTCAGTTGGATGGCTTGGGCCATAGAAGGCAGTAAATTAGGTGGGGAAAGTGCCTGGGAATCCCATGTCCTTTATCATTCCTCCCTGCTGCCTACTCTCCCAGTGCCATGGAATGTTCCTGTGACCCTGAATTTGCCACCATGGAGACTCGAAGTCTCCAAGGTTCTGTTGCTCTGACAACCCATTGCCCATTGGAGCTGCCAAGGATCTGGAAGAAAGAGGCCCAAAGCAGGGTTGCAGTTGTTGGCTCCATAAAACTCTCAGCTATGACTAGTCTTTCTGTGTTCAGGGACATAGTCCCAGCCCAGAAGCTAGAAGGCAGTTTACTAAAGATCTACAAGCAAGATGATTATCCTAACAAGATGTTCTTGGCTTACAGAGGTAGGAGTCCATCATTTCAGGGTTTAAGATTTTCGGCACATTTTGACTGCCTGTAAGTGGGCAGTGCCCCCAGTGGAGGAATGAAGAATAACCCATGCCTCTGCAGTTGGACAGTTTTGTTTGTTAACAAAACTTCCAGAACATAGTAGTGCAGTGAGGGTTCCAAGTCATCCCATGCCCTGTGCCCTTTGCTGGGAACCTCTGGGAATTTGAGAGAGCCAAGTCTTCTTCTGCTTCTCACCTTTTCTTTATCTGCCCCTGCATCCTCCCTTGTTATTTCCAGTTCTCTCTGTTTGTTATTTGTTTTTAACAAGCCCATGTAAATCAGGGTGGTCTTGAACTCACACTATAGCTGAAAATGACCTTGAACAAATTCTCGTCCTGCCTCCATCTCCCCATCTCCCAGTTACTGAAGGTGCCACCACACTTCGCTTCTCTCTCATCTTTTTGTTTTTTGTTTTTTATTTTGTTTTTAAGATGTTTTAATTGTATGTATGTGTATGAGAGAGAGAGAGACAGAGAGAGAGACAGAGAGAGAGACAGAGAGAGAGAGAGTGCGTGTGTACATGAGTGTAAGTGTGCAAGGTGGCCAGAGGCATTGAGTCCCCCGAAAAGCTGGATTTACCTGTGTTGATGAGTTACCTGATGTAACCACAGAGAACTGAACTTGAGTTCTCTTCAGGGGCAATATGTATTCTTAACCACTGAACTATCTCCCCTCCCAGAGCTCACATTCTTGAATCAAGAAATTAAGCCTTCTGAGGGGATGTGTCTCAACTGACAGAGTGCTTGCCTAGCCTTCCTGAAGCCCTTTATTCAGTCCCTAGCAGATAAACCAGGAATGGCACTCACCTGTAATCCCAGCACCTGAGGGATGGAGGGTCAGGTGTTCAAGGCATTCTCAGCTACAAAGCAAGTTCAAGGCCAGCCTGGGATTCTTGATACTAGAGAAAGGGAGAAGGCAAGGGAAGACAGACAATGAGACAGAGGTAGACAGAGACAAAGAGAGACACACAAAGAGGGGTGGAGAAAGACACAGAGAACCCTTCCAACATGGAATCGGGCCTCACCATCATGGAAACCAGGGGCATACTTTAACTTCTTGAATGTCTAATTTATTTTGTATGTAAATCAAAACCTTTAAAATGCATAGGTTTCGGCTGCCTTGGTTGATGTTCCGTTTTGTTGTGTTTTTGTTTTTGAGACCCTATCTTTTTATATAGCTCAGGCTGGCCTAAAGCTCACTATGGACCAAGCTGGCCTGAAAGTGATCCTCCTGCTTCCCTCCTCCATGCTGGGATGACAAGCATGGGCCATCATGCCTGACTTAGCTGAGGTTCTTGCTCTTGGTGGTGGTGGTGTTTTGTTTTTAAACAGCACACTGTTTTATGAAAATAAAGAAGTCAGAAGGGGGGAAGGAGCTTTCATGGGTACTTTCCAAAGGCCCAAGAAGCACAGGCATCCAGAACACCCTTTGAAGTTTCTCCACAGTGTGCATGACCGATGAAGGCCATCCCTGGGTCTCTTTGGTGGTTCGCAAGACTCGCCTGCAGATTTCACAGGACCCCTCTCTGAACTATGAGTACTTACCCCAGATGGGCATGAAATCATTTGTCCAAGCTGCCTTGGAACTCCTCTTTGGAAAGCACAGCCAAGCCATTGCAGAGAAGAGGGTGAGACATGGAGAAGATATGCAGGGTTGCATGGCCATGCAGGGGCCTCCACCTTGACAAAGGCAGTTCCAAGACTCTGAAAGTAGAGCTGGGAGCCGAACCCCAATCCTCATTCAGTCACTCAGTTGTACCCACCCACACTGCTGATTATAAACTATAAATAATCCGGGAGGTGGTGGTGCATGCCTTTGCTCCCAGCACTTGAGAGGCAGAGGCAGGCAGATCTCTGTGAGTTTGAGACCAGCCTGGTCTACAGAGTGAGTTCCAGGACAGCCAGATCTGTTACACAGAGAAACCCTGTCTCGGAGGAAAAAGAAAAAAGAAAGAAAAACTATAAATGGATTATTTCAATGTAAAAGGAAAAATAAAGGAAGAGGGCTGGAAGGCTCAGCATAAGGCCCTTAGTTCAACCCCAACACCAAAAATAAGACAAAAGTCTGAGTCTGGGGTATGCTAGTGTTAATGCTGCTCCTGCAAAATGTCCCTTTTATGTACTGCTTGCTGACAGGTAGGGGGTGTGCACACTGTTGGTGACAGTGGGGCCTTCCAGCTTGGGGCCCAGTTTCTCAGGACGTGGCGTAAGAATTTGAAAACTGTTTGTATCGTCTCATGTCAAAAGGGTGAGTGTTGCCAATTCCTGTCCTGTGTGTAATCTCCACTCTTGCCCTCACTTTGTGTCAAGAGAATAATGGTGGCTATGCCAAGCTATGTCCATCCTTTTCCTGTGTTGTCCTACCATCAGTCAGTAATCCTCACCCCAATCTCTGGTATCTGCCTCTGTTTCTCCATTTCCATGGACCCCAGCCAGTGGGGGGTCTGTGTTCCCACAGAACAGTATGGACTCATCTTCCAGGAAATGGGCTTTACAGTTTATGAATACCTCATCTGGAACCCCAAGGAGCTGTGCTCAGACCCCAAGATGTTTTTCGAAGTGATGGAGGTAGGGGGGGTCCCCACTCAGAATCTTCTCCCATATACCTGGTTTATCGCCTATTCTCCCTGTTACTTTAGGCCTTTTTAGTGGGAACAAACCTAAGAGATTATTTCTCCTCTAAATGCCTGGTGTCACCTCCCACACAGTAGAGGTGGTGCCTTGACGAGACAGTGTCTTCCTACAGCATATCCCAGCTGACAGTATCCTTGTGATTGGGAACATTATTGACTGCAGGTTCTCGCAAAATCAGTGGGCAAAGTTGATGTCCATCATTAAGGTCAGGATGGCTCCCTGCCACATTTCCCCTCCTTTCACACTTGCTTCTCCCCAGCAGCAGCCTCATACTCTCGGGTTCTTTTTTTCTCTTGCAGAAAAAGCAGATATTCCCTTTCTTTGACATTCCCTGCCAAGGTCTATCCACTGGTAACCTGGAAGAAGACACCAGACTCTTACAGTACTTTGTGTCTCTGGGGCTTGAGTTCTTCTGCAACCAATCTCTGTCCAAGAATTTTGGCATTTATGGTATGGTATGGGCAGAAGGGTATGGACAAGAGAAATGGGGAACAAAATTGTTGCATATCCATTGCACGTGTGATGCTGGTTTTGTTTTGTTTTGTTTTAGTGAGCTTACAAAATAGAGTTTCTTACAATGTTCTCTATGTGTGTGTGTCTATCTTTGTATCTGTCTGTTTGTCTCTGTCTCTGTCTCTGTCTCTGTCTCTGTCTCTCTCT